CAAATATCAGTGCTATTGGTATCACTCAACATAATATCCACAACATCCTATCAAATGCTCTTCACAGAAATCAGAACTGACTTGTATATCTTTTTCAACTTTCATCTTTATGGATTCATATCTTGTTTCTAATCAATGTTTATGTGTATTATTTCTCACATTTAATAATTAATAAACTCACTCTTGTGTTAACTCAAGAAAGCCTTGTTAAATTGGTTCCTTTTAAAACATGAATGTATTGGTCTGGGAGAAGGCATCACACTTTCATTTATAAAGTAACATTGGGGCAGATGAATAAAGAAAGGGAACCAGTTCATCCCTTCTCACTATAAGATAAAAGAGCAGATGTAGGCCATTCAGCCCATCATGTCTGCTCTGCCATTCAATGAGATCAGTGACTCTGCTTGATCATATTATGTATTTCTAAATGCTTTACAATTACATTTTTTACAATAGACTCTAACATTTTCCCAATAAAAGATGTTAAGCTGAGTGGCCTATGGTATTTTTTTGTCTCCTTCCCTATTTGAATAAATATGTCACTGTGGAAATTTACTGATCCTCGGGCATTTTTCCAGCATCTAAGGATTCTTGAAAGATTCCTAACAGTGCATCCACTATCTCTGGAGCTACTTTGTTTAATATCCTAGGATATATTCTATCAGTTCCAGGATAATTATGGGCTATTAGCCCCATTCGTTTCCCTTGTACGTTTTGTCTACTGAAAGTTTTGTACCATCGGTTCTGCTACAACTTTTGTTCTGTCAATGCGAATTGGCTGTAATGTGATTGATGAATAAGGGAACACTATTTCTAAAATGCGAACTTGTGTTGGCTATAACACGGTTCCATCGGTGCGCAGAGGAGCACGCGTTGACATCACATGATTGTTTTACGGGCTTTGTCATGAATACGTACAATGTTAGCACTGAAAGAGTCTCTACACCAGCATCACGTGATCATTTCATAGGCTTTGTTGTGAAGTGCTTTCTGTGAGAGGTACAGTACAACCTCCTCCCCCATCTAGTCATCCTGACATTTTTTTTCGAGGTAAGGTGTTAAATTTACTTCTATTTCATTATTACATATGAATTAAACATTTATTCAAATTGTGTTATCCTTTGTGATAGGCTTTTGAGTGATTTTTGAGTGATTTTGTGTGATTTTTTTTGGTTGTCTGCCCCTAACCCCATAGGCCCCCTTATTTCATAAGCGCATATTTTCTATAACGCAATGTTGCACAGGAAAACAACTATTGTGTTATAGCAGAACCGAGTGTATTTACTTCCACTAAAACGCTTGCCCCTTGACTATTTATTATTTTTGGAATGCTATAAATGTCTTCCACCGTGAAGACTGATGCAAAGTATTTATTCAACTCCTCCGACACTTCCTGATTTCCCACTATTATCTCTCCAGCCTCATTCTCTATGGAGCCTAAATTCACTTCGGCCTCTTTCTTCCTTTTATATATTTAAAGAAACTATTACTGTCTGCCTTGATATTATCTGCAAGTTTATCCTCAATGTTTATTTTCTTACACTTTTTTTTGACATTTCTTTTTGGCCTTCGAAACTTCCCCAATCCTTTGGTTTATCACTAATCTTTGTCACATTTTGTTTCTTCTGTCAATTTTATGATGTCCTTGACTTACCTGGTTAGCCGTGGCTGTCTTATCCCCTTCCTACAATCCAAAGTTTCTTGATATGTTTTTGTTTAATTATTTTCTTAAAGGTCTGTCATTGTTCCTCAACCATCTTTGCTGCTTTCCCTGTTCACTCCAGTTAGCCCTGCCTCATTCCTTTGTAATTACTGTTATTTAAGGTTAGAAAATTGTTTCTGACTCAAGCTTTCCCCTCTTGAACTGAACTTTGCCTTGCCTAAAGACTGGCCATAACACTGGCCACAGCACTGGCCACAGGGTCCAGAAATAGTCTCACTGCTAGCCTGGATTTGAATATCCTTTATGTTCATAAAAATAGAACCAATGCAATCTGGCTGATTGCCATCCCAACAGACTACTCTCAATAATCAGCAAAGTGACTGAATGAATCATCAACAGTGCTATCAATTGGCAGTTTCTGACAAATAAGCTCATCAGTCATATACCACTTGGATTCCAACAGGTCACTGAGTTCCTGACATCACTATACCATTGTTTCAAACAACAAAGCTGACTTCAAGAGCTGAGGTGAGAGTGACTGGCCTTGGCATCATTGCAACATTTTACCTTCTGTGGCACTAAAGAGCTCTGGAAATATTGAAGCAATGAGGATTGGAGGAGGATGGCATAGGAACTCTCCACTCATTGGCTAGAACAAAGGAAGATGGTTGTGCTTGTTGAAGACCAACCCACTCAAGTTTCAGGACATCACAGCAAGAGTGCCTCAGAGAAGTGTGCATGGCCCAGGCACCTTCAGCAACTTCATCAGTGATGTTGCCTCCAGCAGAAGGTTAGAAGTAAGGACATTTACTGATGACTGCAGTGTTCAGTTCCATTCACAAGTTCTTACTTACTGAATCAATCAGTGCCTGCATGCAGCAAGACATAGACAACATTCAGGCTTAAGCTTGCATGTAGCTTGCATGTGACATAAATGGCAGACAATAATTATCTTCAATAAGAGATAATCTAGCTATTTCCACTTCGTATTCAATGGCATTACCATTACCAAATCCCCCACTAACCACATCCTCAGGGGTTATCACTGACCAATTACTCAACTGGATCAGCCAAATAAAGCGGAGGCCAGAAATTTGGAATTCTGTGGTGACTAACTCATTACTTGACTCTATCCACCATCTACAAAGCACAAGCCGTGAAGTGGCAGAATATTCCAGAGTTAAATAGAAGAGTCTGGCTCCAACAGCATGCAAACATTCAACACCATACAGTACAAAGCAGCCCACTTGACAGCATTCCATTTACCACCTTCAATATGCCCTCCTGCTACTAATGCTGGACTGTGGCTACGATGTACTATCTACAAGATGCACTGTGGCAACTCACCATGGCTCCATGACAACAACTTCCAAAGTGGTGACCTCTGGCACTTAGAAAGAGGTCAGCTGATATATGGGAATACCACCATCTGCAAAGTCTTCTTCAAGGGACACAGTCTGACTTAGAACTGTATCACCATATCTTCAACACTGCTGGTTCAAAATACAGGAACTCCTTCCGTAACAGCACTAAATCATACAGTCTACAGTGGTTCTAGAAGTAAGCTTACAAACTTCCCAACAACACTTAGGAGTTGGATAACTTGTACTGGCATTGTCAACAACACCCACATCCCATGAATAATATTTATTTTTAAAAAACTCAGTTTCAACCTGTTTAGTGTTTAACTTTTCTGCATAATAAGGTTGTTGGAGGCCAATAATCTCAGTTACTCAGGACACTGCTGCAGGTGTTTTTCTAAGGGCATCTTCAAAGCATAATCATCTCAGCTCCTTTATCATCTTCCCTCCAGCCTAACACCAGAAGGTGAGAAATCTGCTGATAATTGCACAGATTTCAGTTCCATCTTAATTGCTCAGATCATGAAGCAGCCATCCTCATATACATATGTTTTTATTGCCTTGAGAAAATTTCCTGTGGGTACAATTGTTATGCATAACTAAAAATAAGAAGGAAGAATAACATCAGTTATATCACAACTGTGTCACAACAAAGCAACAGAATAAAGTGTGAAATAAAAAAAATAGATTTTAAAAAAAGGAAGAATAAAGTCTAGGATCTTAATGCTCATTCCCCAATACAAAGATTACAAATGAAAGCACAGTGTGGCTACATCCTCCAAAATCTTCTCAGGCACTGGCAGTGAATTGTGAAAAATGAAGATGAGGCAAAATGCAGGGTTTTGCAAACTCCGTTATGCAAAGCAGGCATTCCATCAGCAGACATTCAGCCACCCTTAAATTCATACTGTTTCCTCTGATTCAAAAGTTCCAGGATGCAGACACCTCCTTTGCTTTGCTGCCCTCAAGTAGAGAAATTGTCAAAGGCCACCAGCTGTGTGTCGACTGTTTGGCTGCATGGACAACTCTCCCAGACCACATGGTCGGAGGTTCAGTGGCAACTAATAAACCACACTACAAGGTGGGGGGGTGAAAAGTGACAAAAATACTCACTACCTCCAGGTCACAGCTAATGTAACCAAGCTGTCAGGGCCACCCATGCTTGGTCAATCAATATTCCAGAAATTTCATCCACCTAACTACATAGAGCTCTCTTTCAAACTGCCACCATCTTAAAAATGGTGTGAAAAACATCCCAGTTTGGGCTGGTTTGTGGTTACTAACATTTACTGCAAACAAATTTCCTTCAATTACCACCCAAAAATCCAACAGCTCCCTCAGTCAAAGGTATTGTCATTGCCGGAGATCACCACTGACCAGGAAGTTAACAAGACCACTATATAAATAGCAGGCTGAAGGCGAGGAATTCTATGGTGAATGATTTGTTTCCTGATCCCCCAAAGCTTGCCCACTACCTACAAGGCACAAATCTGGAGTGCATTGTATACTCTATATGCAAGAAGTTCAACAGCATCTAGGGCAAAGCAGTCTGGTTGATTGGAATCCAATATAGCACCATGACATTCATTGCCTTCACCACCAGCTCCATTTACAAGACTGCACTACAGCAACTTATCAAGACTTTTTCTAGCACTTTCCAAATCAATTACCCTGCCACCCAGAAGAATAAGGACAGTGGGTTGAGACTATCACCACCTGCAAGTAGGAAAAATGCGATTTCAGATGGGGAAGTATAAATATAAACATGATTTAGATATCTGCTTATTGCAGCAAAATATGAAACAGGACCAATGATAGGTTATTTGTGCACTCTATTCATACCATTTTCATAATGTAGAGTGATATATTAAAACAAATAATACAGAATTAAAACTAAACTACCAACTCTTTACTACAAACTCATTACAATTCTGCTACGGTAATACATTAATACATTACATCTAATATGCACTTACCTGTGATAGACCTGACTTCAGGTTTCTTGGGTTCTGGCCTTCTGAGATGCTTTGGAAGCTTATCATTTTCGATATGCCATTTTTTCAAACACTGTGGCTCATGAATACTTATAGATGTAGTTCCATATTCTCTGCCACAAATATAGCAGACAACTGTTCGTGGGCGTCTAATTGCTGGTGGCTAAAGACAAATGTTAAGTTTTAGTCATTTAATTCAAACACTATAAAGTACTAAAGGCACATAGAAGGAAGACATATATCTTGCATATATAAATGCAGGAGGCTATAGCTGGATGAGTACAATTTATTGATGTAATAGAAAAAAAATTCTGCCTCTATTTTCGAAAACTTAATCAGGTTTCTTTCTACTAATTTACATTATAATCGAACATTAAAAGTTTGATAGTGTATCTATGTTTTTCTTTCCCATTGGAACACAAGCAAGAAAACTAAATAACTTAGACATAATAAAAATCCTAGTGGGTTATAAGCACTATTCTCTAAATAGAATAAATCTTCTCACTGTCAAATCACTTTCACATTGCACTGGATTTTTGCAGGGATAGAAGGTCTCTAGATTAGCCAAAATGGCACCAGAGTCCCAACTCTGGAAGTTCCACCACAAAGACAGCCCTTATCAGTTTTGCTAAGTTAAGGAATGGATTGGGTGTTAGTTTGCATATCAATGGTTCACAGAGGTAGTTGCACATACAGAGGTGCAACTGCATTTAAAAGATTCACCCTTGATTTGTGGGGTGTCTAAAACATGATCCATGGACTTCAGACATTTAAAGAAAAGGAGTTATTTGGAGAGATGTATATGTCCTTTTGGGAGAGATCAGATTCCCTGTTGAATTGTTAAAAGTCGACATGAGTATGTTTAGAAATTGACTGAATGAATTGTCAAGCTGTCAAGGCATTGAAAACTTGAAGCTCTTGAAATTTTGGGAAAAAAAACACTCCAGTTGGGAAAACATATTAGTGCTTTCAATTTCAATAAACTATTTGTTGACATAAGGCTGAGGGTTCTACACCACAACAATTCTGCAATTCTATAACTATAACATTAGTACTACATGAGTGATTCTACAACCTATCAGTATCACTGCGGAAGGCTTGTAAGTTCACAGCTTGATTGACAAACTCAACCAAGTCTTTGATGTGGGGCTATGAATACAAATGTGTACTCATAAAGGTTTATAGAATTTATAGACTTTACATTGGATTTATCAACAAGAGCTATTTTTAAAAGTCATCAATAGAAACTTAGAATTTTATTTTATTGCATTTCAACATGGCTCCTGAGGTCTGCCCTCAGTGAATACTGAATGAGTTGGCACGGATGGTGTAAGGACAAGGGGTTGGGGCCATGATTTTCCACTAAGTTAATATAGAGATTGTTAAGAGCCATGGGGTATTGACAGAAGTGTAAGGTTGGCATGGAGGCTATGAGGAACTATGCAGGTGGGTAGAGAAGCACACATTGCATAGAGGTTGAGGGGTCATTAGGATATGGGTAGAGTGGCATTGCTTGATAGAGAGGGTATGAAGGGCAATGAGCTGGGGGGTAGCACGAGGTGGGATAGTTTGGCTTACATTGGCCATGGGCAGTGTGTGAGGGGTGAAAACTAGTAGGTGGGGGCTGCTTTCTTTTAGTTTGTTTCATATCAAGTCTGGAGCATTGGGGCAGCCTCTCTCACAGCCCTACCACACAGCCAGCAACCCTTGTGACTGTGTCTACATTGTTTTTGGGAGTGGCAGTCCCAACTCCTATTAACACCCACCCTCACCAGGAATAAATATCTAATGATTTTACCAAAAACAATTTTCCTTTTATAGAAAACATTACAAGGATCTTGCCAAGGGGTTAGAGGGTTTGAGCTACAGGGAGAAGCTGAATAGGCTGGGGCTATTTTCCCTGGAGTGTCAGAGGCTGAGGGATGACCTTGTAGAGGTTTATAAAATCATGAACAGCATGGATGAGGTGAATGGCCAAGGTCTTTTCCCCTGGGTGGGGAAGTCTAAAACTAGAAGGCATAGGTTTCAGGTGAGAGGGGAAAGATATAAAAGGGATCTATGGTGCAACTTTTTCATACAGAGGCTGGTGCATGTATGGAATGAGCTGCCAGAGGAAATGGTGGAAGCTGGTACAATTACAACATTTAAAAGGCATCTGGATGGATAAATGAATAGGAAGGGTTTAGAGGGATATGGGCCAATTGCTGGCAAATGGGACTAGTTTAAATTAGGATATCTAGTCGGCATGGATGAGTTGGACTGAAGGGTCTGTTTCAGTGCTGTACATCACTATGACTGTATCTTTGGCAGGAGATTCTGCAACAAAGAGGAGACCATCTGGACACTTTCTGCTGAATTACATGTCATCGATGGTGGAGATGTTCCTGACTCTGCACTCTCAGTTCAGAGGTAAAAACGTGGCCCATTATTTCAAAACACAAACATTTTTAATGATTCCTGTTGAACTTATGATACATAAAGTATAACATTCTGACAAAAATACTACGTAATCTGATACACTTTCTTCGCCCTACCCAGGAGAATTCCTCTACCTTTTGAGTTACCATCCTAGATTCACCTTCCTTTCACATTAAAAAATGTGTCCTTGCCTTCCATTTCAATCTGTCTCAATACCTTCCTCAAGTTTCATCAGTCCAGTTTCTGCACCAAGTGCCAAGACCAAATAGTCAGAATGAGGAACATTTAATTTGTGACCATTACCACTTAACATTTCTATAATGTTCAACACGCATGATCCTACTATTATCTTCCATCTATTCAGCTCCCAGATCTTACAAAGGAGGGCTCTGCAGGGACAACAGGACTGGGCTTGCCATTATCATTTCTGGTACCTAGATTGATGCTTGTTAGTTTATCTCATTTCATTCCTTTCTTTAGACTTCATAGTGGTTTGATATAATTTAGTAGCTTGGTAGGCTATTTCAGAGGCATTTAAGAGTCAATGATATTGCTGTAGATCTGAGGTCACAGGTAGTCCACACTAATTAATGATACCCTACAGGGCACTAGTGAACAAGATGGATACTTATGACAATCAACAGTGGTTTCATGGTCACCATTAGATCAGCTTTTAGCTCCAGATTTATTAGTTGAATTTAAATTCCACCAAGTGCCATGGTGGAATTTGAACAATGTTCCCAGAGTATTAAACTGTGCCTGTAGACTAAAATTCATACTACACTACCTGCCAAACATCACCCTTCACCCTCCTAGCCTCATCACTGACCTATTCTCAGTCACACTTGTTCTCAGATCTATCAGATGGAGCTGCCTTCAGCAGGGACTGACCCTCCCTCTGTCATTGAGCTCCCTGCTTCTGTCTCCCATGACCCTTCTTAAGATCACCATAATGTGACCTTCCTGACCCTGATGGCAATGCCTTGATCTCCCAGGACAGCCACAATTTTCCCTTCTACAAACACCCACATCCTGGTCTCTCTGAACAGCTGCACTCAAAGTCAATTCAATAATTTAGCAACTCCTCCTTGGTCCAACAAAGTTCTCATGCAATAAAAGCAGTGCCTATTCACTCCAAAGCCTCCAGGAAGACTACCTTACCGGCTGACTCCATCTTCAACCACTTGTGAATCTGAAGACACATGTTTCTCATTTGCCAACATAATTACAAAGGTACAAGTTAATCTGGTGACCATATGTTTTAATGAGTATGCATGACATGTTAATGCATTAAAAGTAATTTCCCGCTGCTTGCTGCTGGGAATGAACCATGATCCGTCTTTAATCCACTGCCAATGTACTTTCCAACATCCATCCCACTGTCGCAAAGCTGACATTTCACCTCCTGCACAATTAAGTGCCCCCGTCCGTCTCATTTTTCGCTCCCAGAAATTTCACTGGATTACCATCCTGTGTTTTTGATTTCAAAATCTATGTCACAAATGTAAATTGTGAATAACAGCAGTCCCAGCACTAAATCTTGTAGAAACTCACTTCCCACTCACTTCCACTCTGATTTGCTTCTCATTACCCCCACTCCCTGCTTTCCATCTTGCATCCAGCTAGCTATTCATTTTGTTACTTATTCCATAATTCTGCATGCTCTGTGCTTATTCATTAATCTATTTTGTAGCATTTTATTGAAGGCCTTTTGCAAATGTAGCTAAATGACAATTACATTTATTCTTCTGTTCTCTTTTCAAAGAATTCAATGAGATTCATAAAGTAAGACCTCCCTTTTTAAAATCCATGCTTACTATTCATTAATACATTTGATTTTCTAAATGTTTTTTCTATTTTCTCTTATTATAAACATTCCATTCTTTTTCTTGGCACTGACGTTAAACTGACTGGTAGATCATTCCCTGATGTGTAATATTTCCCTTCTTAAATACAACATTAGCTATCCATCGGTCATCTTGCATTGTATCTTTAGCTAACAAATAATTAAGTATGTGTAATGGTACCTTTACCACCTCTTTTTAAAATTTATTTTAAAAATGCACTACAGGACCCTAGTAATTATTCTCTTTGCGTTTGATTAGTTTGTTCAACATTTCTCCTTTTTTGATTTTGAATGAAATCAGATTGTTTTTAATATCTTCTTTCAATGTCATATCTATTTCATCTGTCTCTTTGATAAATATTGACATAAAATAATTGTTTAATATTTTAGCCATTTCGCTACTACTGCATGTGATTTCATTCTGTACTTTCCTATAAGTGGCCTTATTGCCATCCAAACTTCCCTTATTTTGTTCAGGTCTGTGTAGAATATTGTAACATTTTAATTTACGGACCTTAATTTAAGTTCATAGATCCTCTTAATATTTTTGGCTCTTCTTCTAATCTTTCTATATTCTCCTTATCGGCCATTGTTCACATACTTAGTGAATATTTTCCTTATGATCACTTTCTCCTTCAAGCCTTTATTCGTCAATAGTGTATCATTAGTGTTTAGTTAATTTTGTTTCAGGAGAATATATTTTCCTGGGTTCTTTTGAACACCATTCTCAAACATTATGGTTGTATATTTTATCTTCCAAAGGGCCAATCTTAGCCTCTCTAATCTATTGCTTGTCTCTTTTTCATGCTTATACTATTCTAAATTATTGTCTTAAAGTGTTTCATATTATGATCATACTTCCGAGCCATTCCTCTGTTGTTACTTCTTCTACCTGCTGTGGTTCATCATTACTAGGTTCATCAGTAAAATCTCACTTATTGGACTTTTTACACATTGCTTTAAAAAGGTGTTGTGTATATGTGGAGACGATTCTTCTTTCTTATTCCCTTTACCCACCTCTCCTATTTAATTGTGTGTAGTTGAAATACCAACCTGATTATTATTCTTTTTCCCTGAGTTGGTTGGATAATACTTCCTCCACCTTCCTGCAACAATATGATGGTTTGACAATTGGTTGATCCTTTATCTCTGTCCACATGGATTCCATTTCTGTTTTTATAGCTGGCTGTATCACTCTTTTTCACTGCCATTGTGTTATCCCGAATATGTACTGCAACTCCACTAATCTCTTTTCTCTCTAGTTTTCTCAAAATATGTATTCTGCAATGTGCAAGTCCTGATATTTCTGTAGCCATATTTCAGTGATCTCTACTATGCTGTATTTGATTCTTTGCAGATCATAATTATCATCAGTTCCTGTTTTAATACAGACCTATTTTGATCAACAGACAATCTAGCTCAATTTTCAAATGGAATGGGACAGAGGGTGATCATTTTGCCAACACCACCATGATTTAGGCAATTTCAAAAAGAGAATCGTTCACAGATGTATGTTCATTTCGGTCTATTTAATTGTGCCTATCATTTTTTTTCCTTGACCTTTCAATCTTGGAAATTGAAATATTTTCCGAAGCTTCAAATGCTTGCCAAAATATTACCTCCTCCTCTTGCACTTCCTTTTAACTGTTCCGTCTATTCAAAATTCACTGATGCACAATTTTCCACTCTTATCAGTTAAGTGCTCCTGACATTCATCCATCTCTGTATCCAGTGTTGAGAAAAGTAATAATGAGAATTGTATTTTCTCATTCTGGTGGAATTTGCCTCAGTTCTTATTCATTTAGAAATTATTTGCATCAGCACATGATGAATTTGATTGATTCCAATTTTGCAAATGGCACTCGTCATCTAATTTCAAACATCCCCCCTCCACAAAGTCTAAGTGAGTTCAAACTTCACTGTCAGCATTTTGTGTCAGATTAAGTTCTATTTGCTCATCACTCTTTCCCTCGCCAAGCTAGATTGCATCCTATCCATCAGCATATTTGAATTTAAAATCCTCATCTTCAAAACATGCTGCAGTATTTGCCCACCTTAATATTTACAACATACCCCAACTTTAAGTCTCCTTAATCTAGTGCTCTGATTCTGTTTTATTCCCTGTTTTTGTTCTCTTTTTGTCTAGACAGCAGGTGAAGTATTTGCAAGAAAAGGTATTTAAAAACTTACAGAACTGTAACCTGTACTTGACTCAGGCATTCTGGATGATGTACCTCCACCTTTTCCTTTACAGCTTCTTTGATGCACAGGAAGTCGATCAGGTAAGAATGTTCGACCACAGTTTTCACAGGGAATGAGTTGAGCCTTTGCACTTGCGAATGCTGCTGCATTAGTAGCATCAACATCATAAGAACCATCAGTTTTAACAGGCTCTGGTTTTTTTGGTTCTGGTCTTCTTTGGTGCTTTGGTAATTTCTCATTCTCAATTCGCCATTTCTGTAGACATTGAGGCTCATGCACAGCAATTGAATGTAATCCAAATTGTTTGCCACATATATAGCACACTCTCGAGAGTTTTGACATAGCTAACTTTTCAAAATCCTTTGAACTTGAATTATTGAGCTACCGTTGCGGAAGCAGTTTCTTTTACAGTTGTACAATTATTCCTTTAATTCTTGAGAACTAGACATCAGGTTTTCTGTAGATACTCAATGTGTTACGTCAAAGTCCAGTGGATGGCAATGATATTTGATTTGAGCTTACACATGAATAGATCTAGATGTTAGACTTGTTAATGAGAGTTACATTTAAAGCATTATGTGTGGAACTCTTTGCAATGATTATTTTCTGTTATAGCTGCTTTCATTTGGGAAGACTATTTTTCACATCCTGCATATACTAGAAGTTGGCCTTCTGTAAATTTCCAACCTTTGCTGTATCAGAATTCATGGGAATAAAAAAGATAGAAGAATGTGGTGACATAGGAGAATGCCTGAGAAAGAAAAAGTCTGCGTTTAAACATAGCATTGCATTTTTGGAAACTCCAAATGTACTAAGCAATCAGCACATACAAGGTAGTTACTACTTATAGCATTGTTTTGAGTATAATATTTAAATAATTTTGAGAATTATGCAACATAGTGCGGCAGTCCATTAAATACGTGTTAGCTAACATTTTATTACCATCAGGAGAAACATTCCAAATTCAGCCTCAACAAGATACCATGGATTTCCATTGGTACTTTTCATATTATTGGTGGATGGAGGCAACATTTTTGCCACAGTTAGTCTGTTTCTCTGTAAACTGTATATCTCAAACTAATGGATGGATTCAACAAACTCAGTCCAGAGTTTGGTCCAAGGAAGAACCAACGAAAAATGGTGAAGATGCAGATTCTCATAATGGATTTTTAAAAAAAGATTTGTTAACATTGTGAGATTGAGCAAATGGACTTCTTTTTAGAATTCTGTATGTTATTTTGTTTAGAATGTAGTTGATTGTTTTTCAAATGTTGTGCATTGTCTCAGCTGCTTGTTACAATTTGTCCAAAACGTGTGTACCCACCACCAAAGACATTTTTCCCTCCCCACCCTTATCTGCTTTCCGGAGGGACCACTCTCTCCGTGACTCCCTTGTCCGCTCCACACTCCCCTCCAGCCCCACCACACCCGGCACTTTTCCCTGCAACCGCAGGAAGTGCTACACCTGCCCCCACACCTCCTCCCTCACCCCCATCCCAGGCCCCAAGAAGACTTTCCACATCAAGCAGATGTTCACCTGCACATCTGCTAATGTGGTATACTGCATCCGCTGTACCCGTTGTGGCCTCCTCTACATCGGGGAAACCAAGCGGAGGCTTGGGGACCGCTTTGCAGAACACCTACGCTTGCTTCGCAATAAACAACTGCACCTCCCAGTCGCGAACCATTTCAACTGCCCCTCCCATTCCTCAGACGACATGTCCATCCTGGGCCTTCTGCAGTGCCACAACGATGCCACCCGAAGGTTGCAGGAACAGCAGCTCATATTCTGCTTGGGAATATCAATGGTATCAAGGTGGATTTCACAAGCTTCAAAATCTCCCCTTCCCCTACCGCATCCCAAAACCAGCCCAGCTCGTTCCTGCCTCCCTAACCTGTTCTTCCTCCCACCTATCCCCTCCTCCCACTTCAAGCCGCACCCCCATCTCCTACCTACTAACCTCATCCCGCCCTCTTGACCTCTCCGTCCTCCTTGGACTGACCTATCTCCTCCCTACCTCCCCACCTACACTCACCTTTACTGGCTCCATCCCCGCCTCTTCGACCTGTCTGTTTCCTCTCCACCTATCTTCTCCCCTATCCATCTTCTATCCGCCTCCCCCTATCTCCCTGTTTATTTCAGAACACCCTTCCCCTCCCCCTTTTCTGATGAAGGGTCTAGGCCCGAAACGTCAGCCTTCCTGCTCCTATGATGCTGCTTGGCCTGCTGTGTTCATCCAGCTCTACACCTTGTTATCTCAGATTCTCCAGCATCTGCAGTTCCTACTATCTCTGTAGAATTTTCAAAGCAGGTTGTTGGATATGTATTGGCTTTGAGCCTCATTAGTTAATAAAAAATTTTTTTAACTTTTGTACTTACAGAACATCAACAAGCAGGGAATGGGACTGCTAGGAAATTATAATGGCATTGATTTAATACTGTTTAATAGAGTTATGTGGTCTACTTAGTGGCCCCTTCCCTTGTTAGTTATGTGTGGCCTAGTTTACAACTGAAAGAGGAAGTGTAAAATCTGAAATCCCCAAACTTTTGTTGTCACTATGCAATTTATTTTTATTTTATCTTTGTAGAAGAACAATTCTGAGGACCACGGTTGGTCCCTAACCCTAATTTACCTGAAGATCAATTAGCAAAGAGATATAGCATGAAATTTTTTCAGTTTCTGTTTACTGAGAGCTGAGATCTAGATAACGCAAAACGTTGCTGTAGCAGCATTCAAGTGGCTTATAAAGATGGAAAACCCTTAATCTCCACAGGAGGATATTGAACTGCTTGAGGACACTGGCTAATATGGGGGCATGCCAGTAATGTTGCACTGAGGTGCCTTGGTGTTTGGGGTGCACTAATCATTTAGTTGGAGAATGGAGCAGAGTGAAGTTTTATTCCAATTTGAAATTCTCTAACTGCAGATTTCACATGTACTCAGTTCAGAGACTCTTGGTCCTGAGCAAAACTTTCTGAAACGTCAGCATCTGGGCTAATGGGCTGGATGAAGCGACTATAGCTGCATCCTATTGACCTTGCACCATACTGTTACACTATGCAGTTTAGCTTGTTTTAGTGATTACTAGCTAGTCGTTAAATGGTCATAATTAGCATTTGAGGTTAACGTTAAATATCACTAGACACGTCCAGGGCTATAATTTGTGAAGTTTACTGACCTGATTCTTTACATAATATTACTGACCTTACCCCACCGTCATCTTCCAATCACTCCCTCCAAGCTCCCCATAATTTAAACCGTGGATTTGGTGTTGGGACTGGCTCTGGGTCCCAAGAGCAGGGTTAGCCTGCCACAAAGAAACCGCGTTCCACTGCAGACGCAGCAACGATTGATTTCGCCGTTTCCTAGCAGCAAAATCAACACAACAGCAAATCTCCAGCCGCGTCGTAACAGCCAGCGTTGGCAGGATGAAAGGGAATTAAAAAAACGAGCCACTTCTTCCAATATCGTTAGTATTATTGATATTAAAAGATCCTTGTTTTACAGTGATCTCATCTGTGACAAATCCCTATGAAAAATAAATTATCGTACGTAGTGCCAGGAATGTGTGCACACTGATGGTGCTATCGTTCGCAAGGCATGTTAATTATTGATTGAAATGGTCACCGTGACTCGAGAATAGAAATGTCCAAATGTTCAAATTATAGCTCGCTGGAAGAGTGGCACTCTGGTGTACGCTAGCCTGCAGGAAGACTAGAGGACGATGTGGAACGTAAAATACAAATGCTAACAATTCCTCACGAACCTGCGGAAGTCATCTAGAATTGTTTCACTTCGTCAGGGATAATATTTCAACAGGCTTTTTGTTGTGTGAGGTATTTTTCGGAAAGATCTTTGTGAGTTATAGTGGCTGCCCCTCTCTCCTGGTAGACAATCAGTTGAAATCTTTCTCCTTGATGGAAAGACACGTGTAAGCCTAAGAGTTAAAGTAACCGGTATATAGTTACTGGGCTGTAATAAATTACATAGAGTCATGCAGTGTGGAAACAGACCCTTTGGTCTAGTCCATGCCAACCATGTTCCCAAACTGAACTAAGTCCCACTTGCCAGCGTTTGGCCCATATCCCTCCAAATCTTTCCTAATCATATACTGATCCAAATTCTTTTAAATGTTGCAACTGTACCTGCACCCATCACTTCTGGCAGTTCATGCCACACACTAATCACTCTCTGTGTAGAAAAAGTTACCCTTCATATCCTTTTTAAAAATATGTCCTGTAGTTTTGAACTCCTCGCCATAGGGAAATGACCCTTGCTGTTCATCTCATCTATACACCACATGATACTATAAACCTTTATAAGGTCACCCCTCAACCTCCTAAGTTCCAGTGAAAAAGGTCCCACCCTATTTTTATAACTCAAACCCTTCATGCCCAGCAACACCATGGTAAATCTTTTTTGCAAAACTGCTCTAATTTACTAACATCCTTCTTAAAACAGGGACACTAAAACTGCACACAGTACTCCAGAAGAGGCCTCACCAACATCCTATACAACCTCAACATAATGTCCCAACTTCTATACCAAAGGTTTGAGCAATGAAGGCAAGTGTGCTAAACACCTAATCACCCTGTCTACCTGTGACAAAAATTTCAAAGAATTCTGCACCTGATCCCCTAGGCCTGTCTTTTCTACAGCACTATCCAGGCCCTTCCATTAATTGTATAAGTCCTGTGCTTGTGTTTGTAAAGATAAAATGCAATATCTCACATTTATCCAAGTTAAACTCCATGTGCCACTCCTCCACCCATGACCTAATTTGATCAAGATCTCTTTGTAATCTTAGAAACCTTCTCCACTGTCCATTACATTCCCAATTTTGGTGTCATCTGCAAATCTTGTTATCTAAGTCTAGAGGCCTGTTCATTGAGACCTAGTCATGGTTCATCCTGCATCATACACTACAAAACAGCTCCTTAGCCTGACACAGGAAGGAGGATTGATGGCAGCACTTTATTCTAACCATAAGCCACCAGTGGTTGATAGCCAGACATCATTTTACAACAGTATCTCTGTTCACTACTAGGCAAATGCTACATTTTAAACATTTTAATGCCAGAAGTGAAATTTTACAGGATACAAATTAGATGTTCTGGCATGACCCAGAGTTTTATAGGATGCAGTGTCTTTGGTGCTATTTGACACAACAGGTATTGCTGGGGAAAACAACTGCAAATTTTGATAATTAAATTGATATAGTTTTTTCTTAATTAAGAAATTTAGCTCCAAGATATCTGAGAAAAGGAAATCTTGTGACAATGGTAAAGGGCATTAAGGAGACTGTACTTGGAGTGATATGTACAGCTTTATTCTCCTTATGTAGGGACATAGTTTTATTGGATGCACGTAAGAAGTTTTCACTAGGATGAATGGTAGATGAAGAGTTTGCCTTATGAGAAAAAGTTGAGCAGGTTTACTCTACATTCACTGGAATTTAGAAGAATAGAAGATTTTCTTACTGAATCATATATGATTCTGAAGCAATGAGGCAAGGAAGTATATTTCCTCACATGGGAGGACTACAGAGCTAGGAAGCTGAGTTTAGAAATAAAAGGTCTCCCATTTGAAATTGAAATGGTGATTAGAAATGTCTTCTCTTAAGGGGTCATTAGTTTTGGAATTTTCTTTCCCAGTAAGCAGCGAAGACTGGCTTGTTGAATATATTCAAGGCAGTATTAGACAAATTGTTAATGGACAAGGTAGTTGAGTGTTTTCGGGCACATCGCGCAAATTAAGTGAAAGTCTTATCAAATAGCAGTTTACAATGGACCAAATGGTTACCTACTCCCGTTTCTTATAATCTTATGCTGACACGTAACACAATTTTATACAGGAAACACCTACTTCTTTGCACTATTGATTTTTTTTTAGCTGATACTTTTTATACCAAACATATTAATACCAGCTGATGTTGAAGACTCAGACATTTTAGGGTGCAGTTTGTCAATTTGTGTTAAGTTTTCATGTCAGCACCGGAAAGAACATAGCTGCATATTTCCTATTAGCATACATAGTGTGCGTGTTGGCAGTCTGTACTATACTTTGAAACTCCATTATCACACTGTCTTTAAAAGTTGACTTACTTGACCTAAACTCAAATGCCTTGACTCTCACCATCTGAAAGTGATATGGAGTCATCACCAAGATCTATATTCATCTCCTCTACAACTCACTTCTGGAAACATTCCAAATGTGTTTCCACCTCTCCCATAAAACTGAATTGATCCAATTAAAATAGAGTTATTATTAGTTCTAACTACCTGTGAGAAAGGGGGAATAATTTGTTCTGCATGTTTGCATTGCTACATTTGCAACTCCAACTCAATGCTGGTGAGGCCTTGCAAAATCAGGTCTTTGATATTCAGCATAAGGCTTCTGAAGTCACCCCTCAAAAATGTCCTTAACTCCTGGCATAGGTGATGTTTGAGCAAAATAGAGAAGAGACTGCCTGAATTGGTATAACCAACTGAACAAAAATCAGCTCTTTTAGCAGTGGCAGAAATTTGGCAAAGAAAACCCATGAAAAAAGCAAGAAAACTGCGGTTACCAACATTTTTCATTGTGGTTTTGGTGGGAGGCATGGCCACACTGCAGCAGGATCTAGGTGTTTATTTATGTAGCAATGAAATGCAAGTTTGAGGAAAAACCTTTTTTCATTTGATCTATATGTCATTGTTGGTTTACATGTCTTCTCCTTCCCTATAACCTTGTGGTATTCATGATTTTACATTTAACTTCCTTGCAAAACCACAAGTGTAAATACTAAAATAATATACTTACCATTAGAAGGTCCAATAGCTGTGGTAGGGATAGAAGCTATTTTCTGCCAGCTCTAACCTTAGCTTGTCAGTATAAAATGATATTCCACAAGTGACATCATTGTGATTTCAACAATTACTATTTATAAAATGAGAGAAATGGACAGTCAGAAAGAGATAGGGATTAAAGTACTCAGAATTTTCAAATCCATGGCACATTCAAACTGCATTAGAATACAATAGCGCTACTCAGTGGTTTGTATTGATATTGATAGCAGCAATGCTTTAAAAAACAATGCAGCAAATTTGCCACAATACATAAACCTGCACACCTTTCCTAATTGTTTCCTCTTTCATCCTTTCTATTGAAAAGTGCTGGTCAGCCACAAAGTAAAACAGGTGAAGATTGTTGTGGAGTAGAAAAAAAGTGGATCTGCTGCTAAGTACTATCTTTGAACTAATTGTCACCCAAGAGACAAAAAGAATTGCATTTTTGGAAAGGTTTCAGCTTAATGCTTGGCTTAAAATCCTTTATTTATCATAATAAGCTTAGAACTGTAGATTTTTACACCAGTAAATTGTAAACTTTGAGAATATTTGATTGGCTTCAAAATAATGAAAGGACTATACTTTCCCCGTGTAGATTTACTATTGACCTAGTCAGGTTTGGAACGACGAGGGAATAAGTATAAACTTTGAACTAAGTTTAATATTAGATGGTATCAGAGATAGTAGGAACTGCAGATGCTGGAGAATCTGAGATAACAAGGTGTAGAGCTGGATGAACACAGCAGGCCAAGCAGCATCAGAGGAGCAGGAAGGCTGACGTTTCGGGCCTAGACCCTTCATCAGAAATGGGGGAGGGGAAGGGGGTTCTGAAATAAATAGGGAGAGAGAGGGAGGCAGATAGAAGATGGATAGAGGAGAAGATAGGTGGAGAGGAAACAGACAGGTCAAAGAGGCGGGGATGGAGCCAGTAAAGGTGAGTGTGGGTGGGGAGGTAGGGAGGAGATAGGTCAGTCCAGGGAGGACAGACAGGTCAAGGGGGCGGGATGAGGTTAGTAGGTAGGAAATGGGGATGCGGCTTGAGGTGGGAGGAGGGGATAGGTGGGAGGAAGAACAGGTTAGGGAGGCGGGGACGAGCTGGGCTGGTTTTGGGATGCGGTAGGGGAAGGGGAGATTTTGAAGCTTGTGAAATCCACATTGATACCATTGGGCTGCAGGGTTCCCAAGCGGAATATGAGTTGCTGTTCCTGCAACCTTCGGCTGGCATCGTTGTGGCACTGCAGAAGGCCCAGGATGGACATGTCGTCTGAGGAATGGGAGGGGGAGTTGAAATGGTTCGCGACTGGGAGGTGCAGTTGTTTATTGCGAAGCAAGCATAGGTGTTCTGCAAAGCGGTCCCCGAGCCTCCGCTTGGTTTCCCCGATGTAGAGGAGGCCACAACGGGAACAGCGAATGCAGTATACCACATTAGCAGATGTGCAGGTGAACATCTGCTTGATGTGGAAAGTCTTCTTGGGGCCTGGGATAGGGGTGAGGGAGGAGATGTGGGGGCAGGTGTAGCACTTCCTGCGGTTGCAGGGAAAAGTGCCAGGTGTGGTGGGGCTGGAGGGGAGTGTGGAGCGGACAAGGGAGTCACGGAGAGAGTGGTCCCTCCGGAAAGCAGATAAGGGTGGGAGGGAAAAATGTCTTTGGTGGTGGGGTCGGATTGCAGATGGCGG